AGTTTACTTCTGTTGATTTTTATGTTTTAATTAGGTCCCCCCCACACACACACCCTTCTTCTTAATCTTCATTTATTTGATTTATTTATTTATTTATTGATTTATTTATTTATTTATTTATTGAATTTATCCCCACCCATCTCCCCCTAATGGGGGACTCTGGGTGACTCACAACTCATTAAAACAATAAATAAATATACAATTACAGAAAACCTAAAACCTGTACAAAGCAATTCCTAAAAAAGAAAGAGTCCAGGATGCCAATGGTTCAGAGCAGCAAATGCCAGGCCTCTAAGGGGCTAGCCATCTCCACAGCTGATGTCTTCCCTCTCTACCTCAGGCCAGATAGCAGAGCCAGGTCTTCAAATCCCTCTAGAAGGCCAGGAGTAAGGGGGCCAATCTCACCTCCGGGGGCAAGATATTCCAAAGGGCGGGGGCTACAGCAGAGAAGGCCCGCCTTCTGGACCTCACTAGTCAGAGTTCTTTTACCGAGGAGGTCCGGAGCATGCCCTCTCTGTGTGATCGGGTGGTACGGGTTGAAGTCGTGGGGGAGAGGCGATCCCTCAGGTAACTTGGTCCCATGCCATGTAGTGCTTTAAAGGTGATAACCAACACCTTGAATTGGACCTGGAAGCAAACTGGTACCCAGTGCAGCTCGCAGAGCAACAGTGTTATATAGGTCCTTCTTGGGGCTCCAAAAATAGCCTGCGCAGCTGCATTCTGGACCAGCTGTAGCTTCCAGATACTCTTCAAGGGTAGCCCCATGTAGATTGCATTGCAGTAGTCTATCTGGGAGATAATAAGGGCGTAAGTGACTGTTTGAAGAGCATCCCGATCCAGGAAACAGCATAACTGATGCACAACCCGAAGTTGTGCAAAGGCCCTCCTGGCCACGGCTGCCACCTGCTCCAGGAGGACCCCCAAATTATGCACTGGATCTGTCTGGGGCAGTGCTACCCCATCCAGCTCCAAAGATGGCAAAGTCCCAGATACAGAGGAGCCATTAACCCACAGCCACTCCATCTTACCAGGGTTCACCTGAAGCCTGTTGTTCCCTATCCAGACCCTTACCGCCTCCAGGCACCACGAAAGGGCGGTCACGGCATCACTCACCTCACCTGGGATGGAGATGTATAATTGAGTATCATCAGCATACTGATGATACCTCATCCCCTGATGGCGGATGATCTCTCCCAGTGGTTTCATGTAGATATTGAAAAGGAGCGGAGAGAGAACCGAACCCTGCAGGACCCCACAAAGGAAGGGCCGAGGATGGGACCTCTCACTCCCTATCATCACTGATTGGGATTGGCCCTGAAGAAAGGAGGTGAACCAGCACAAGACCATGCTGCCCACCCCCAATTCCTTGAGCCGTCCCAACAGGATACTGTGGTTGACGATATTGAAAGCCACTGAGAGATCAAGGAGAGCAAGGATGGTCACACTTTCACCATCCCACTCCTG